GTCGGGTCTCTTTCGTAAAACTCAAACGGAATATAAATGCTCTGTCGACACATTTCAAACATGCATATCGACCCTAATGTGTAAGCTAATATTTGACTAACGTTACTCTGCTCCGGAGAGTGGATCAGCCAGTTAACACAGACACGCAGTTGCACAACACTAGAACTGACCCCTGGTCTGTGTTGGTTTTCTACAGGCGCTTGATCATTGCAGGGGAAAATTTTGGATGAGGAGGACAGACCCCCTTTAAGGCTGATTTGCTTCACAGGATCTTGTAACACAATGTGGAGAAAAAATTATTCTAGGCAATCGCTGAAGAATGCAACTTTGTAGACGAGGGGTCACCCACCAGGTCTTGGACAGCCCCAATCTAGTTAGTCTTACAGGTCACCCTGGATCACCCTTTTTAAAAGATTAGGAACACATGGAGGTTACTGATGAAATAAGTCATTTGTTCAATTAAGGGAACCCTGGTCAATCTGGTACTTCAGATTTCTATTCCAATAAATAGCCTAATTTAAAAATCATCTGCGAATACCTTGAGCTGGTTATTGACGGAGATGGGTTTCGACCGTGTTGATGTGTAAAAACACATTGGTATTCTTCACACTAAGGTAGCTTTTGAAGTTGCTAAGGTTTCTTTTTTCCGTCTGCGTGATATTGCTCGGCTTTGCTTCTGTCCTACCCAGCCGGATGCAGACGGGCTTGTACACGCTTTTGTTTTTTCTCGTACCGACGAAAGCAATGCTGTGCTTGCAGGGGTTTCAGAATCTATTCTTAAGAGCTGCCATATCTCAAATCAAGCAGCAGCGTCCTGAATTCTAACTTAAACCAAGTCTTATAATAGTTTTACTCCTGTCTTAGCTGCTCTGCACCCGCTTCCAGTGGAGTTCAGAGTGAAATATTAAATGTTACTGACGTTTAGGCCTCTGCATGGGCTAGCACCTGATTGTATCTATGATTTGTCTTCTCCATATGCCCCTATGTGAAGTGTTCATTGTCTTGGCTCTGGCCCCTTGTCAGTTACAAACACTAGGCAAATTTTATCTACCCAATTTCTAACCCTTTCTTCAAATTCAGGGTCACGGGGGAGCCAGAGCTTATCCCAGCAAGCAACGGGTGCAAGGGAGGGTACACCCTGGACAGGACACAAGGGCATTGCAGGCCGGACACACAGACACAGACGTGTCCTAACAGCAGGGGAAATTGTCCCAGAAGCCAATTAACCTACCAGCATGTTTTGGGGCTGTGGGAGGAAACTGGAGCACTTGGAGGAAACCCACGTGAACATGGGGAAAAGGTACAGACTCCACACAGACAGCATACCAGGTCCAGGACTGAACCCAGGGCCCCAGTGCTGCAAGACAGCGGTGCTGACCACTGTACCACTGTGCTGCCCTGCGCACGTTCCTCCAGTCATTATGTCTTTTTGCACCAAGACGATGGGACGACTCCCAATTCAAATGAATAGTGATTCCGTTCCCACTTTTAAAACTGAATTGAAAACATGCCTTTGTCTTGTCTTTTGTCTTCATTGCCCACATTATTACCTTGTCATGATTTTTACTGCAATGTTTTTATTTTAACTCTTTTGTGTAACGCCATGAAAAGTGACGTATCAAATAAATCTTCTTGTTATTAATAGTAAATAAATAATTGTGAGCTCAGCAGGGGTGAAACTAGGCGGTGCTGGAATCACAAGGACCAGGAATGGGAACCGGTGTCACAGGTCCCACTGCAAATTACTGCGTTTCTCTCATGCGAGACTTGCCAGTTCCATTCCTCAGGACGTCCAGGTCTGGTTTTCTGTCCAGCCAAGCTCTCGGTTACTTAATTAAGCTTAGTAAATTAGCTAATAAGTTGCTTAATTGGAAACATTTCAAGGGGTTTATCACTTTTGGAATGCAATAGTTTAAAAGGGTTTTCGAGATCTAAGGACGACCGAAGAGTTTAAATAAACTGTCTCATTAGTCCATTCACTGATTAAGGCCGGTTTCAGCTGCAGAACTGTGAGCTAGGCTGCAAGACACTCCAGCAGGTGGGGTCCAGAGTACAAGAGCTGTGCCCCCTGTGCCTTCCTTCAGCTGCGCGTGACCGAGTGTGTGAAGGGATCAGTGCGGGTCCTGTCTCCGTGCTGACACCTGAGTGGATCAGGTAACAGCTCTCAGCTCCGTGATCTGAGCTGGAGTCCCGTCAGGAGCCTGCTCTGACCTGGACCCACAGCCACATGGCTCCGATCCAGCGCCAGAACGCGGATGGTTTGCCCTTCAAATTCTCATCTGTTGAAGACCTTTGAAAAGTGTTCAAGTGTCCAGTCAAGCTAAGGGCCCAATGAAGACAATGGGTCGAAGAACATTCAACTTTAGGAAATTAATAATGAGCTTAATAAAGACCCATCAAAGAGAAACCTTTTCTATAGGGCCTTGCTTCCTGTCTGGAGGATGATTTCTGCTAATATCTGGCCACAACCCATACTACCCTTCTGTGTGAAAAAAACAACAGCATTTCCTCTGTAGTTTACTCCAGTTTAGTTAAACGTACTGTTATTTACTCTGCTTTTCCGTTGTTTTTGCTATGCGACCCTGCAAACCTGAACCTAAAAAAATGCACTAACTTCCTTTATGTCACTTTTGCTTCAATGTGAATAAAGAGGTTGTAAATGAACACACTCCATTATCACGGATTGCCTCACCTCCGGCTGCCTCACTTGCTCTTGTCTGCCAGGCAATCTGTCATCATGCATTGAGTTATCCATTCTAATCACTTAATGCAATATAGAGTCACGGAGGAGCTGGAGCACCTAACAAGCAAGGACTCCAGGCCATCACAGGGCAGACACACCAGGGGCAATTTTCACAGAGGCCAATTAATCAACTAGTAGGTCTTTGAACTGTGGGAAGAAACCCTCACGAACACAGGGAGAACACGCAACCTGAAGCAGATAGTACCACAGGTGTGGAATTGAACCCAGGACTCCAGCACAGCAAGGCAGTGATGCTGACCACTGTGCTACCCTAGATTGAGGATGGTGATAACTGAATATGCACTAAGGCAGTTAGTACACTTTGAGTTGCCCTTCAGTTGCCACTAGACTGTAGCTGTTTATAATTGTTTTTTTTGGAAGGAATAGAAAGGAACCTTGTGCCGGTAATCCATTTGTGCTACCTAGGGCAAATGATGTGAGTGCCTCAGGCCTTAAACTCGTCCTATCCACTTAGCAGGGCAAATGAGTAGCACACAGCTCACTTCTCCTTGGTAGTGCCCTGTTGTGGACACCATTAATGTTATTTCCGGCAGGACAAAACTTGTCGCTTTACCTGCTGCTGGTAGTGAAACAGGCCTTATTATTTCAGTTCCAAGAAGAGAAATCCCTGACATCAACAGGAATGATAAGCTTGTGGGTTATGTGATGGCTGTTCTCGTTATGAATCACCTGTCTCTTTTCGCTCTTGTTCCGAGTTCCTGGTGAAAAGCAGCACTGATGGGGAGATAAATTACAGCCTTACAGATTCCTAAGCACATGACCTGGGGGAACTGCTTATGAAGCTAATTTATTTTTAATAAGTGGCTAACAACCCCGTTATTATAGTGTAATAGCATTGTGAAAGTGTCATAACAGGTGAAGTGGTATTATTGGTAATAATCAGGCAGCTTAAATAGTGTAAGAATCATTCCAGTGCAGGTCCTGGACATTATTATTATTATTATTATTATCATAATTATTATTATTATTATTATTTGGTATTACTCTTACCACCTTCAACCAGCCTGGTGCTACTCAAGACTTCATGTCATGAACAGGGACATTAAGCAGGCCCAAACCTTTTTAAACTTCCCTGCCCTTGCAGCTGCACTTCCATTTTGTACCAGTTCTCTGCACAACATTCTGTGGTAGGAAATATAATCATGGTCACACTTAAAAAAATCTGTTTTTGGTATGGTGATACAAAACAGATCACACTCTGGTGTGAAGTGTCCAGTCCGTCCACCAAGCATACGAGGCCGTGTTTTAACCCCTAAAACTACAAGCTACAGAAATACAATTTTCATGTAATAGATACAACAAGTAATAGGTTTATTCTATGCTGAACTACATAGATACAACAATACCAACTAGCCAGCTTGGGCCCTGACAAGAAATGAATACAAAAGATGAATGACATAGTAACGTCTCTCTCAGTCACATCTACACTTATTTAACTGACCTTTGTTTCTAATCCAACCAACACATCAAACAATTAGAATGTGCATATTGAAGAGTATATTATCATGGAGTTGGAAAAATAAGTACTACGACCATGGGACAGCATGTTTCTTCACTGAGTGTCGAAGAAAACAGAGAGTCTTTAAAAGTTCGTTTTTAAATTATTTTCAATGTAAATGATTTTGAATAATTAAACTGCCGCCCTCCCAGTGTAGGGGTCCATTCACTCAGAACTCATAGTTCTGCAGAGGGGACAAGTCTTTCAGAATTCAGATCATTTGAATGGATCCCTAGGTAATACAGTGCCACGCTGATCAGACAAGTATCTTTTTTTTGTCCATACATAAGTCCCTCCAAGTGGAAATTTAGAACATCGCAATACGCCTTTTTATTGCCCGAGACTTCGCAATAAAAGCCAGACCACAGAACCAAAACACTTACCCGTCTCTGTGTAAAGTATTCCTGCTGCCTCCTGCTCTTACTGCTAAAATCTCCACTTGCAAATGTACACATGCGTCAGAGCTCTGGTGACCTCTCAGGCACAGTATTTGGTATTAACTTGCCATAAAAAAGTTATAAATGATTTTATAAAAATTCATTTCTACGCTTAAAAGGGCAAAGGGCATTTCTACGCCCTTTGAATTATCCTTAAAGAAACCAATTAAATGTGAACCAAGCCCCTTCACAAAGCTCATCACTGTAATTCACTGGCTGACTGCTGAAGCTCGGTTTTTGCTAGTTTTTCCTGAATGACATTATACTGCTAGGAGCGTCATGTTTTTTTTTGCTTTGATGGATCAAACTTTGATTTCTCCTAGCATTTCAAAACAGAACACACAACACACAACCATAGAAGAAACTATCTGGACACAGTTGTGTTCATAGCAATAACCTGTCTTTTTTCACCTCATACCATATCACATGCATATTGTGTCTTTAAGTCCCATGAAAATGGTTTCACCTTTCTAAATTGTACACGGTCCAGCACCATGACATTTTTATGTCTCATTTTCTGGAACTTTCTCCTCTAACTTTACATTCAAACTGTTTACTGTTTGTTTGTATATTGTCTTGATGCACTGTCTGCACTTTGCGTTTTTGCACTTGTTTTAACAATCGAGAGACTTTCTGTAAGTAAGAATTCCATTGTACCAGTACGCATACCAGTTACACGTGGCAATAAAGCTTGAGTTCAAGTTCAAGTAACTTTTGAGTAGAATCATTTTTCAGTTCAATTCAATTTGAGCAGAACCCATCTAGAGTGGAACCTGACTTTTACTTTTACACACCAGAGAATGCAAGTGCATGAGATAGACAAACACCTTGACATTTATTTCATTTAGGACACATGGGCTGAAAAGGGTTTTCGATTAAATTAAAAAAATAAATAAAAAGCTTTTAAAGCATAAACCAAAACTCTGAAGCAAATGAAGGAATTAAAAAAAAATCAATAGTACAAAATATGGGTATCCTTACATATTCTTATAAATCACTAACATGACTTCACTACATCCAAGTACTCCACATACATCAGACAATAGATGCGAAAACATGATGGAACATTGTCAGCCATTGTTTGAATTGTATTCTGGAAAACTGTTGTCTTTCTAAAGGATGTCGTGTGGAATAGCATCAGCTGCATTGATGGGGTCCTAGACTCCACGGTCTGTTGTCCTAAAAACTCTCAATTTTGCAGAAAACACAAATACTGTTGGCTTGAGCCCATCATTATGAGCTTGCGTGAACTTACCTGATAAGTGTGGGCCTTGTCCTGGAGAGTCTTCTACATTCTAATGTCCTGGGGACTCGCCCAAACTGCTGATGACAACAGCCTGCATGCCAAGTCTTCAGGTAAAACGTAGATAAGTGACGCAGATTCCCACTTTCTCCCTTAAAACAGAACTAGGCTGAGGATCTTGTGCTATGGAGAGTTCCGCGAGGAAAGCAAAGGTTTCTGTCCCTCCCAGAGCAGATGAACTGATGGCGCATCCACCCTTCAAACCTTGACATGTGTGAGTTCTCACACCACAACGGCTAAGAAACCAGAAAGTCAGGGCTTCCTGTCTCTGGTGGAGAGTACCTCAGCCTCTAACTGCAATACAGCCCTGAGCAGGGATATGCATTATCGCAGGTGTCCCAGCTGCTGTGCTGTGAACGTTAGCCTCATTCAGATTTGGGTTAGAATACCATGTAGTTCTTGTGTGTGTGTGTGTGTGTGTGTGTGTGTGTGCGCTTTGTCTTTTATCAACATAACCTGGTTTTGGTTTCCTCACGAGCCAGGGGTATTCCAAAGAGATCTTTTTCTGTTCTGTAATCCTCTCCTTTGTGACTCCCACGGTCAGCACAACTGAGTCATCTGACAGCTACACAGGATGCTCCTCGGTCCTGCCACTCGAAAGGACTGAAAAGTCATGGAGCAGAGGGATTTTTGCTTGCTAACTCATTTTTGGCTTTGGGTTGAAAAACGACATTGGTCAATCTCGGGCCATGAGGTGTTATTGTGATGAGGGAAGCCAGCCCAGAGGCCTGACAATGTTGTCTCCAAGTGTAGAAGAGAAGTCCTGAATGGAGACACATATAAGCATGAATTTGGCTCGCCCTTCTGTTCTGTTGAAATGGGCTTTTTAAAGACGCACGTCAGAATAAAAGGGTTTTACATCTGTCTTGTCTAATGATTAAACCATAAACATGGGCTTACCAACAGATCACAAATCAAGCACTCGGCATCAGCTGGTGAGTCTCCAGTGGGCGCTAGGGAGAAACTGCCACAGAACGAGACATCACCATCAGGGACTGGGTTTGCAATTTGCCCCTGGCAGGCAGGCTGAACCTCTGATTCTGATTCAGACATCTGCCACGTTGGTGCAGTCTGATTCTCCTCTGTGGAGCACTAACTATGACCTGCTTATAGCGTATAGTTGTCAGAGGCATGATCTCTTCCAAAACTGTTACGTTATATAAAAATCAAGAACAGAAAATGCTGTCCTCGTGTCTGTATGTGGTCTGTTATCTGGAAGAATGTTGTGAAAACACATTCATTTGGAGAACGAACAGTTCTCTGATGTCTTTGTGTGGGCTCAAAGCCCCACGATTGACATCACGTATCTTTCAAAGTTTACAGAAATGTATTTTAGGGGTTGCTCATCAAGAGTCAAAGATTCTTAAAGGACACTTTTTTTATCATTCGCATCAGTGTTCCAACAGAGAGATTCAGCACTAAAACTGTTGCTGATGGATGATTTACAATCTGTCCCTGTATTTCAACACTGAGGGCGCCATTTAATTAATAATTTATCAAGTTTAATCTTTCAAAGAAATGACTTCCTGTAAAGATGGGGGATTTCAAAACATGAACAATTAAACTAAAACTACACGTGAAGTATTTCATGGAACAAGATGTCATCTTTGATTTTGATTTTGAGTACTGTGTAGGCCATAGCACTTGTGGGTTTTGTGCCTGAATCACAGAAAAGTCCCTGATCGCCTGTTCTTAAAAAAGGTTACATCTGTTTGAATGCACCATCCTTAATACTGTACGCAGAAACCCCACTGATTTTTCTCATTTGTTCACTCAATACATTGCAAACCTCCTTGTTTACACGCTGAAATTGTGAGACCCATCAAAGGGAGATGAACTGTATTTCGGATTTTTAAAACTAGTTTCTTTTTCTTTCGTACGGCCTGTGAGAAGAAAGCAAACGCAAAAAAAATACAAAAATACAAACACATCTTTTAAGTGGCTTCACTGACCATAGTTTCCTGTAAATCAGTTGTCAGCAGTGGTCAGCTGCATCAAGACTGACCAGAGGCCACAGTGGGGAATGGATGCTGGAAGGGGTTGTCATGGTGACAACCCATTGTTCTGTGCATTGTCCCTTGCTAGTGTCCACACAAGGACATCACGCCCTCTGGCTATTCATTCATACGCTGAATGGGCTGGCGTTCGGCTCACCTGTGAACAGTTACCTGACCGGCAGGTGTGGGTTCCTGGCTCAGCAGGAAGTTTTGTTGGGTTTTTTTTTTTTTTATTGGCTGGTATTTTGTGGAAAAGGTGCAGTTTATTCCCTCCTGCCCGTCCTCGCACCTCCCCAGAAAAGTTCTTAAATTCGGCACAAAAAAGTTGTTTTTTAGGTAAAGAAGCTGTATGGAAAAAGTGTGCGTTTCTGCACGTGGGTATTTATAGCCCTTAGACACGAGCCAGCCTTGTTTAGATCTCTCTGGAGACTGACTTAAAATACTGGTGATGGTGATAATGAAAAGGAAAAGAGACATTCGAACCCTTTGCTGCGCTGAACAAGTGTCCCTGCCCTCGAAAGATTATGTTATGAAACTTGAGGGGTTGTGCACCAAAACCCAGTTCTCTCCAGAAAGCACATTTTCAATGTAGGTGTAACTCAAAAGGAAATCATACAAAATGTAAAACTACATTGAAAATGACATGTATACCACAGTTTTTTCAGCAGTGTCTGATATCATTGTCTGAAAATGCGAGCTGATAGCATGCAAAACCACATCGTTTTGTTGCGGTCTGCATGCTGAGCTGCAGTACTCACTGACAGGAAATAGGAACAAGTAGTGTTTGAATTCACATACGTACACTGCTGTAAAACAAGGTGCCAGTGTTCACATGTTATATATAGAAAGAAGGCTTGTTTTTTTTTTAAAGAACAGCTTTAAAGTATCCTAAAGGAATGAAGCATTTTTGTCACAACAGAAAGGGAGAACACACTCTCTTTTGCATGGAATCAGGAATAAACAATTACCAAACTGTCCTCAGATGCGTCCTATGGCCTCACCTGTCCAGGGTATTCTCCCCCAGTTGTCATCACAGGTTGCACGTTGCTTATGTTTTAATGTCCAGTTCTGTGGTCCTAGCATTCGTCAGTGTGTTAACTTCATGTTAGACCAGGTACAAACCAAGATTCCTTTGCCTACTATTTGTTTGACAAAACGCCTTCATTTTAACAGCCTGGGTTTAATCAAATGTTTGACCCACCTGGCAAATACAAAAATATCATATTATCCCAGTGTATCTGACTTAGATACAAGAAGCATTTGGAATCAATGGTACAAACAGGTGGGCTGACATTCTGATCATTACTCAGGACTTTCTCTGCAATGTCATGTAAAGCAACATTTCTACAAGTCAAGGTATTGGTAATGGAAGCACAAATCCTCTTACGTTGTGTTTGTAAGGTTTCTCAGTCCTTTAACCCAATTCTACCGATTCTTTTGTGCTGACAAAAGGACAGGGCATTTTCTGAAATCTCTTCCAAACCTTTCTGTCAATAGAAAGAGGTGATGTCAGCTGCAGTACCAACATCACAGTTTCAGTTATCTGGCTTTAAAGAATTACGCACGCTGTGACATCAAGGCTTATTAGAGACTGCAGATCTAACCTACGCTTTGATGCATTTTAAAAAGAGCTTTTTTAGGTCAAACACACAACACAAGGTTTTATGGCTGAGCAGAGATATACAGTAGTATCCATTAAATACTATTCCTCTGATTAATCATCTTACTCTCAGGCCAGGGATGTAATTTGTACGTGGAAGATAACAATTGTCAGAAACACTACACAGCAACAGGGGGAGCAGATGATTTGAGTCTTAAGATCTTTGCTGCCAGAATGCAGGGTTTTTTTCAGTTCACCTGAAGTGATGACATTTGAAGAGCGGTCTTGCTCATTTGAAGTCAACACCTTTCACCTAATACACTTAGTCAGAGACTGCAGCAGCATTCAAATCTAAACCTGCCCCTAGAGATAGCAATATGGGGAAACTTGTGAAAGCACATCAGATGTGTACAGTGGTTTACAGAATTACATTCATGTTACCATAACAATTCTGTCATGTGTCTCTTAACAATGAATGTGATTTATCAGCCTAGAAATGCAAATTGTTGGACATGAACTCTAAAAATAAACCATGCTTGCATCACAGGTCTTTTGCATGTATTTTGCCCAGAGCTATTTATTGTATTTCTTAGCTACAAACAGCGGCATGCATTGTAGTTTAAAACATACATTTGTGTTGTTTCATCATTCTCTTAATCACAAAGCTCTTTAACATGTCTTGACGTGACAGGAAACGTGTACAGTATAATACACTTTGCTTTACAGACTTCATTTTAAACTTGTCTAAGAGTTCCTTATTTGATATAGTGTTTTTCATAAAGAGGATCATTGTGGTTTTGAAGCTGAATGATGGGCCTTCAAATAATGTGCTTATTGTTTGTGGGTATTTTCCTTTTTCCTGAAAAAAAAAATCTTTGTTTAGATGATAAATCTTGTTTATGTTTTATGAAAACTAAATTTTAACCCCCCCCCCAACAGTGAAACATGTCAGGACACAAGAGGTGGCAATATAAAATGGAACAAGAAACATAAATTCGGTTTAAACAGGTAGGAAGAAGAGACAGTTGCTTCCTTGGTTTGTATTCTACTCCTCTCCATTTTCCAGTCAAGCTGCAGTTAACACTTTTATGGGGCAGTTATGAAGAACATAATGATCTCTGCACTTCAGGATAATGACTATCCAGTGGACAGAGAGCACTTCAGACCAGTGGGAAAGCCTCTGCTTGTAAGGGACAGCACACTGCATGAGCTGAATTACTGTACAGATACAAAACTGTCACTCTTTGTTATTGCTGACTGCCATTATTTCCTACCAGCAGGAATTTGCAAAATCACTTTATTTTTCTGTAGCCGAGAAGGCCTTGATATGTTTTATGATGTGTAATGGTTCGATAACGGTGATTAAAAAGCAATATGTGGCCAGCGTATTCAGCACGAGGTAATAAATCACAGTTACTGCTGTGCAGGGCGCTAGGCAGGCCAGCTCTGCTAGCACCAAGTTCTCATCTTCCTGCTGAGTTCTCTCGGCATCAGAGTCCAGAACGACGATACGTTGTTCTGTCACTTAGGGCTTGTCTTCTTTTTTTAAAAAAAAAATCAAGTTCTTTTAAAGAAGTATTGACAGAATACTTTTAAAGAAGTATTGACGCAGCAGCTTCTCAGATCAGAAGGACAGCACGGAAGGCTGCACTTCCCATTGATAAGGAGCGTGGATTATAGAACAAAAACCGACTGAATAGGCAAAAGTTCAGCCTTGAATTCAATTACAAATCTGCAAGCCAGGTGGAATATTTTCAGTTTAAAAACCATGAGTGATATCAGGTGGCCCTTTCTGGGTTTAAAACATTTAGTTTCCATCTGGCCTGGCAGTCATGTAGCAAGTATGAGAACACAACAGAAAACAAGGAACAATCTGGGTTCAGTAAGAGCAAATGGCGAAGAACTGTGACCTAGTGCCCAGGTCACTCCTGTTGTTTAGGTGAAAACTTAATGTTGCAATGCATTCGGGGTTTTGTTTTGCAGTGCACTTGGGTGAGCTGTTTCGCTGTTTGTGCTTGTGACACGGCTCATTCAGACTTGATTGAAAAGACTCGCTGGGGCAGCTACCCTGGTTGTATTTTGGACAGAATCCCCCGGGCCTATATTTACTGGAGCACAGGAGAATGAAACCCAGGTGGGAACTATGCATCATTCTGCGCCCCGGGTAATGACAACACAATGGAAATCATGGTTTCTAAAACAGCTGCAAAATCAGTATCTACCAGACACAGCAGTGGAGACAAACTGCATTGTTTTGTCAATAGTCTCCAAACTGTGGAATGTGACATGACATGATAAACAAAATAAAGTTATTCTCTCTTTACCGATACCTGAGCACGTTGTGTTTTTTTCCAGAAAACAAGTGGAATACACTGATATTTCAGGCCCATCATTCATCCTCAATGATCTTTTAGAAAAGCCTTATTAAATAAGGAATGACTTTTTAGATAGGTTTAAAATTAATGAAGTGAAGAGAAGCCAGAGTGGTGCGATGGCATTGTGGCTAAGGATCTGCGCCTGTGGCTGGAAGGTTACTGGTCCGTATCCCGCAGCCGGCACAGGAATCCTACTCTGTTGGGCCCTTGAGCAAGGCCCTTAACCCCAACTGCTCCAGGGGTGCTGTATAAACGGCTGACCCTGTGCTCTGACCCCAAGCTTCTCTCTCCCTGTCTGTGTGTCTCATGGAGGGCAAGCTGGGGTAAGTGAAAAGACAAATTCGTAATGCAAGAGATTGTATCTGGCCAATAAAGTGATCCTATCTTTTGTCTTCTGTGAATCTTGTGTGGCCTGACCAAGAACTGAGCTGGTTCAGAATAAAAAGGAAAAGGTAAAGATTTATTCCAGGCTGAAAGGAAAAGAAGGCTCCACAGCTGAAACATTGTGTCTCTTTTCCTTTCAGCGTGGATTAAACCTTTACCTGTTGCTTTGCAGCCTATGCATGCTGACACAGCTCCCTACCTGAACTTGTTCCAAATGTAGCTTGAGCTCAGTAGCTCAGACATCATCAGTCTAACCCTGAGTCACCACACAACTGGCAGTGTGAAGCCAGGGAGAGGGTTGGGTTTAATTGTCAAGGACTCTCTTGTTTACCTCCAGGCTGACAGTGATGTCATGGAGAGATGCTGCTCTAGTCCAATCAGAGTTAACCCTCCTGTAAGGCACTGTGGAGCTTCCGGCCTGTCAAAAAATGAATGACATGATGGGAGGGCAGATAGGAGGGGCTTGCCCATTCATTTGTTTGCTACCCATGCAGAATGGAATCATTGCTAGGAGTGGAAATGTAAGCCACTGGTGATAGAATAAGTGGGTATAAATAAAACAACACAAAATTATAAAGGGAACTGTATTATATCTTTAATCAACACAGAAAAGCTGACAGAGAGAAACTCTCTCTGTCCCAGATGATCAAGAGGATTAATTCAGCAGCGGAAGGTGAAAATACATTCTAACATCACACTGCCAAAAACCATTGCTCCACTCCAGGGCCTGAACACCAGAGAGTCAAGACCTGGAAGCCTTTAAGCAGCAGCACCCAGGACGTCAGCACCACAGGTAATGACGAAGACGTGACGTGACAAGATCACCCAGGCAGTGACACCACAAACACAAGATGAAAAGAAGGGGTGGTTGTTGGTGATTCTGTTCTCAGTGGTCCTTCAAGTGAGATATGCAGTCAGGAACTCAAATCAACAACACTTACAAAACCAAATGTCTATTTTTTTTTTACACACAGCTTTCAAAAGGTTGGTTTACATACAGGTGATTAAAATAAAGATCTAAGCATGTACCATAGCACATAGCAGAGGTCTGCATGCGGCTTCATTACATGCCCTGAATAAGGGAAAAGCTGCAGGCACATTCACAGCACCTTCTCAGGCCTGAAGGCTGCATTTCCCATTGATAAGGGGGGGTGGATTATAGAACAAACGAACTTGGCTATCTGTTGCAAAAGGGAAAGTGCCTCTTTCAAATTTCGGGATAAGAATGAGTACTCCTCTCCTGCAGCGGTGGGATTTTAACCCCAAGAAGAGGCAGTTGTGCAGCAATTCCTGGGAGTATCTTCAAGCCATCCATAGCAGCAGGAGAGGTTTAGCAGATGCTGACGCTATCAGGGAGCAGGGCAAAACGGCTCCTGTCTGATGCTCAGCCTCATGCGCTTGTTGCCCTTCCAAGGCCATGCGGTGTCCTTCGTCAAGAGCCCGCTGCCCCAGGGAGAAGGGACTGGTTAGAGAGGGGCAGCACTTGACAACCCTGAGCAGAGAAGAATGCAAGCAGCTTTTTCACTGCCTCTCATCGGAGACTCAGCAGACATCTTTGAAATGCACTGACGCTTCAGCGCAGGAGTGTCAAAAGTAGCAATACCCTCCCCCCCACCACCACCACCACCACCAGCACCACCACGCTCCTGTTTAAAAGGCGCTGGCGGAGCTTCCCAGCGGCCCCCGGGCCGGGGGAGCTGCTAGCACAGGGAGAACCTGCGGGCGTTGATGTTCATCTTGGTCAGGCCGATGTGTTTGAGCGGCATGGAGAGGGCGAAGGCGGCCTTGAGGGGGATGTCGCAGAGCAGGTCGGACTCCTCGCCGCACTCCTCCAGCCCGTAGGTGGCGTCGTCGAGCATCTCCCGGTGCCGGTGGCACACCTGCTCCACCTTCAGGCGGTGGATCTCTCCCCGCAGCTTCATCAGCTGCCGTGCCAACTGGTCATCCTGCACCTGCATCTCCCTCTGGACAAGGACAAGCAGGCGTTACACACCTGCGGACCTGTCACTCAGCATACCGCCACTCCTGCTCCCAGCGCCAGGACCGGTTCCATCCCTCAAGACACATCGCGGCCGTATCGATCTTGTCTCGCTTAACCGAGCAGCTTTTAATCACTCCTTCCTGTCTCCACATGATCGCGCTGGCCAGACGTGGCCGGACCAGGGTTCTGCCTCAAGCTGTGCTGCTGCTCCTGCTGTTTAGCTTGGCCACAAGACATCGGGCCTGTTTATTCACTAAAATCAAGCTCAGAGGCCATGGCAATGGAGAGAGGTAATACCCGCGGTCTCCAAAAGGAAGAATTCCCTGACATCACGTACAGTACTTTACAGGACAGTAGCACATCCCCACACATACCTCACGCTGAATGGTTCTACATCACCTCTTACAGCAGGCCTTTCCTTTGAATCTATGCCTTAATTCACTGTTACTTTTTAAAGATCTGATCAACTGCAGAACATTACAATGATGCACACATTGATACGATTTTAAACAAAATAATTGCCAAGCTACTGTACCTGGGGCTCATAATGAAACTCCATGACCTCTCTGTGCTTCCCACCTGTTTACTGAGGGAGGGCCAGCTGTGTGCGAACAGATGTACCTGCACAATACAGGCCTCCATTCCATCAAAGTCCCCTGGCCCCTTAAAACAAATGATTTTCTCTACAGTGTCTCCCTGTGTTTCAGGCTTGATGGTAGTGATTAGATAGAGGTATGGGCAGATTGGTGAACTGAGAGGAGTCAAGACAAAGTTCAGCTGCACACAATACAGCAGCAGAGGCATAGGTCTGATAGATTTATCTTGAAACAAGTTTTCTGGTGCACGCCTAGAGCAAGTATTCGCATTAAATGTCCCTCGCATAACCAGCAGTTGGCTGTGTAGTCTACCAATTGACTGTAAGCATCTTACCAATTAAAAAACAGCCCTTTAATAAAGTTGTCTTTATTTTAATTGTCGATTGTAAATTGAGTTTTGTTTGTCTGGATAAAGCATGCTGTTGTTATCATTATTATTATCTCTGTTATTTAGGGTTTTTTTTAGAATATGTTTTATTCTGATTTTAAACTTTTATGGAAGGAATTTTAATTTTGGGAAAAACAATTCTACTATGCGGATCAAAAAGTTAATGGTGCACCAAAATAAAAAAAAACTAATTTTCTTTTCCCTTTCATCAAAACGGACCTAACATTTTTAAATGAAAAAAACTATTCATCTCGAAGCAAAGTTGAAACAACGCGCAACAAAAGCTGTTCTGCATGTACTGCCAGGTATTGTTTTATTTTTATTGCTTACAGTTTTTAACATAATCGGAGTTTTGGGGTTAAGGTTCCTGTGTACCTCAGAAACGTTTTCCTATCCAGAGAAGCGTCAATCTAAGACATCACGCTGTATTTAGGACGTGAACTTTGGAGGTGACCCACCAGTCTAAACAGGTGTTTGCCTACAGGGTGACATTTAAATTCCTCTCTTACGTTCACAGAAAAAAAGACAAAAGTTGAGTACAACCAGGTGAGATCTGACGTTTAGAAGATATATATAGTAAAGCCTCGCACTTCACATCTTTACACGCCCTTGATGTTACAGGTGCAGCATGTTACCACATGAAACAGCATTTATGTTTACACTGCTTTGGAAAAGGTTAATATCCCAGACTTGTATCGATTAAACGTGCAATGCGCACGGGTTCAAAAATAACACAGTAATTCTTCTTGTTCATTCCACCAATGCAATGAAGCTGTCAGGTTAAGACGCGGTATACAGACGAGGTAAGACAGCTGAACCGAGAACACACTCCACAAAACCGGCTGATTTAAAGGCAAGTAGAGGTGTGAACTGGAGAGAAACCAGCTCGCCAGCAGGTGGGAATGTATCTGCGAACAGGCGCTTACCAGTTCTTTTCTGAGCCAGTCCAGGGCATCATCCAGCGTGTCAAAACCGCAGATGTTCCTCACAGTGACGCGGGAGTCCCTGTTCTTGCAGCCTCCGAGGTCCGGGCGCGTCTCCTCTCCAGCTCGGTACCCCACGCCGGCGCCGCGCTGCGGCTCGGTCCCGCTCTGCGGCTCGGTTCCGCTCTGCTCGCGGGTGCCCCGTTTCCAAGGCCGGCTCTGCAGCCTCTCCTTCCACTCCAGATAGGAGGGTCGCCGGGTTTGGAGCTTGAGCTTCTCGGTCAGCGCTTTAACGCTGTCCAAGTCCTCCAGCTCCCCGTCTGAATCCCCCTCGCCTCCGAGCTCTTTGAACTCCATCGTGTGCGACATCTGAGCCAAGAACTCAGTTCTCCAGCGGAGTCGCTCGGTCCTGTACTGAGAGTCCTCTTGCTGTCAGTCACTTCGCCGTTTGCCCTGGGAGGATAACTGTTACTTAAGTCGGAGGTGCTGTCAGATTCCCATTATTTTTATAGCTCTGCGGAGCCGCCCCTGTTTCTGTCTAGAGGAAGCGAGCCGGAGCGAAAGGGAATAGAGATAACGTAACTAGGGAAGTAAGTCGACCGACAGCCTTCTGTTAGCGGTTGTTATTTCAGCTAATTAACAAATAAATGTTAGCCTCCAGGTTCCCCGACGTTACACTTTCCTGCGGAGACTATAAATATTGCATGCATTATGTTAAGTAAATAATGCTTAACCTCCTTACTGCTACGGTTTTCCATTGCGTTTAATAGGCTCGGGATGTGCCATCAGGTAGATCTTATCGTTAAATTAGCAATGGGACACAGTCATTTGTAAAAAGAAAAAAAGGTGCGCATACAAACATTTAGTGTTCATCAAAAACCATTAGAAGACATGTATTTGTTCAGCTCGTTTTGTGTGAGTCTGGGTTGTAAACGATTCCAGAAACATTTATCTTCACTGTAGGGGACTTCTGTGAAGTTTAAGTACGCAGACGATATGGCCCGGCAGGACTGTTTACCGAGGATGATAGAGAAGGGGTGGAGAATTACTCTGAACAGATCAGTAAACTAGAAAGGCGGCGTCAGTCAGGCGCGCTTCATATATATATATAATGTTGATAAAACCAAGCAACTGGCTACTTGTGACAGTAATATGTTAGATTTACAATCTCTCTCACCCTGTAGAGGCTCTTCAAATACCTAGGAACACAAATGGACAATCATTGAACGTTTCCACAGAATGCCAATGGCATTTTTCAGAAGGGTAGGCTAGTCAGTGTAAAGTTTCAATCGGGAAGTTTAAAGTGTTTGGGGGTTAATATAAACATTTTAGAGAGAACGTTAGTAGAAAGCATCCTTACCTTTGGTATCATGGTGTGGTAGGTATCCTGAGCATTAAGGGCAAGAGGAAATGAGCCTGAATTGTTAATACTGCTAGTAAACGTGGCCGTCCACAGAGCTGATATTATATTGTAGCTCAAAGGAAAACTCAGCTGATCATTGACGACACCTTTTCAACAGCTACCTTCAGGAATGCGTTTTAGGCCAAAAAGAGGCTACTAGAAATCTTTTGTTCCCTGTGCAATCGATATGCAGTATTAAACGCAGCTAAGTGATTGTTTTCTGTTCGAAGCTGTCTGTTGAACGTAATGTTAGTGTAATATTACAGCAACACAGTGGGCAGAGTGAGATGTCGGTATTGTATTGTTGCGTGTCTAGGACTGTTGTTTGTTTTTAACGCATATTTATTTTCTGTTGAGTGTTATTTGTTTTTTATTTTATTTTTATGCTGATTCCACCCTTTTGAATGGACAATAAAGGTGAATAAAGATAAAGATAAAGGCTTATCCAAAAGGACACACCATTCATAAAAGTATGATAGCATAAACGTATTTATGGCACCGTAAATGAAAATCCATTTGAATCTCATTTAATAAACAACGTAAGGTGAACTACTGAATACTTTCTTTTTCTTCTAAAAGCGCCCCTAGACACAAACCTTGCGAGTGGACTCTTAGAAACACTTACTAGTTCGACAGAAATGTTACAGGTCTGCAGAGAAGCCTGTAGGTCAACTATACGCTATTTTCACAAGGGCCAAGACGAACTACAGTGGTGAATCAGGGTTACAAGCTGGTGCGATTTTGTTTGACCTGCAATAGACGGACAATCATTGTTCGTCTCTAACTCTCAGGGGAAAGAATGACCTTCAGGACTGGGGTGCCGTAAAAATTAAAGACAACCGCGAACATCTTTCTCCCTATGTGTGTTCAAACACCCAAACATTTCCAGTAACAAACGCGGCAACAGTGGGTTTAGGTAACTCGCTGACACAGCAGATAAAACTGGAAACTAAACAGACAGGTACATGGAATTCAAAAAACGCAAACAACTCAAGTATAGTTTAAAAAAGATGGGCACATTGCTTTATGCATGGGTACATTCCGGATTTCCAGCCTGCGACATTTCCGCATGGTTCGACAGGTGCCTGTTAACTCGCACATTAGAAATGTAGGTACGGAAATTGTGGGCAGGACCGAGGTTATATGTCACTTGAGAAGTAAGGTGCCTGGTTAAATAGACAAATAGCACCCCCTTGTGACTATACCTGTGTGCTACTTTAACATTTCTTATTGAATGAGAGGGCTAGCAGCTATACGTTCATAAAATGAACATCTTTCAATGCACAAAAGCATCGAACCTAGCGATAAACCGTAATAAAGACAGTCGTTGGTCCTTTTTCCTTCATTATTATCAATAAAAGCTATTTCCGCTTTACGAAGGGCGAAACTCAATTCAGTCTGAATCAAAACTGATCAAAACGGATTCCTTTACAGGAAAAGAGTCCAGAGAGAGGGCTGCCGGTGTGTGAATAGGGCTAAGCGACTAAGGATCCAGCCTGACATCCTGCAGCCGGGCTGATTTTCAGCAAAGGTCCCGTGTCCAGGACATCCAACCTGCCCGCATCACCGTCTGAGCAAACCAAACGTCTACAAATGCCCCGCACCACAACGTCAGATTATAATTATTAATGATGATGATGATGATGATGATGATGATGATGATGACGAAGAAGAGTGGTAGCTGATCAATTTCCAGTGTCCCTGCAATGCTCACGCTGTCCTAAGGACAACGGTCCAGGGGAATAGTTCTGGTTTCGAGTGGGTGGGTGTTTACGTCACCCTGGCTGTGAAATTGATCACAACCCTTCCTGAAGAAGATCGAATACCTCTGTAGGCAAGCGCCTCCTGTTTCCGTGACCCTCGCAGCTCGCTTCCACCGCCGAGCGAGCGACCGAGAGCTCGCCCAGCTGACTGCTGGAGCAAGAAACCCGTTTCCTGTCGGTGTGGAGCTTCGCCGCGCTCAGCGTGTGGCACCCATGTCGCTTCTGAGTGCGGACAGTCGGAGGTTGCACAAGATCTGCAGCAGGGCACTCACTTCCTTTTCTTTAAAGAACCATACAAGAAAGCGAAAGATTGGACTCCCTTTTCTTATATCTTGACTTTGGCTCAACGGGACAAAAATGGCCATCTTTGGAGCACGGCTACTCGAGGCCACTGGCGCTTCAAAAAGATGGAAAGCTCTGTGCCTGGGATAAAATATGCGGATATTCTTTTGGTTTTGGTTTTGGTTTTGCAAGGTGGCGGGGGAGGGGGGCGGATATACTTTTGGAGCAAGATTACTTCGCGTTGCGAGACAGTGCGCTCGGCGCGCAGCTCAGTGCCTGCGCTGACTGGCTACATGCGTCCTGCGCTGGTCCTGCAGCCCCCGCCTGACAGCGCCTCGCCCGAGCCGGCCTGCCATGGAGTTCTCGGAGCTGATCAAGACGGCCAACGTGGAGGACGTGGTCCTGACACGACCGTTTCACCCTCCCGTGAAGGGGACGCTGTGCGTGACCGGACACCACCTCTTACTGTCCGCTAGGGACGGAGAAAGCAGCGTGGAGCTTCTGCTTCTCCTGAGGAACTTCGATGCTGTGGAGAAAAGGCGAGTACCAGAGGCTTGAGAGAAGAATCCGGTCGATTCATTTGCTTAGAAAGTATTGACTGACTGTCGCAGTATTGCTTGTGAACCACACAGTCATAACAACAGATGCGTTCTGATATGAAAAATGATATTTAATTTAAAGGGATAAAAAAAACATTTTAGTTTGTTTTGTTTTGTTTTTTTTTTGCTGTTTCAAAACAGAAATGAAACCAGATTTGGAAATAGGGGGTAAAAAGAGAAACTAGATAGCACTGTTACAAAATATCAGACTTTAGCAGCTACGCGATTTCTCCAAAACCCTTGGTAAACACGCTTGGCAAGTGTAAGACTACGCTGGAAAGATAAGATTGTGCAAAGGGTAAAAGAGCTAACAAGCGCCTAGGTATATCATATGAAGGGGATTGAAAAGCTAATAGATCATGTTTTTTATAAGACTCTGCCCTGGGCTGTTTACTGTCTATAAACCTTTCAAATGAGCTGGATTGTTTTCAATTTGCTTATTGCTATTGTAAAACTGAATCCACACTTAAAGTAAACACACAGTTCTGTTTGTCTTCATGGCTTAAGGGTTTCTCCATTACTTCTTTAATGACTTAGTGACTTGGGAGTCCTTCCAAACTAAACATGCAGACATATATTTTAATGCAGAAATGGGACGCCTTTTCCTTTCTGCATTAGAATGGTCTTGTTTTCCCTTGACCATACACTCAGTGTGTGAGGCATTAAGACAGAGTTTGAGGCAGTCTGTTAGTGTCTTAGGTTGAAAGGCAGAGTGTGAGGAGGTCAATGTGTGAGGCAGTCAGTATGTTAGTCAGTGCGTGAGGTAGTCAGTCAATGTATGAGTCAGTCAGTCATTGTGTGAGGCATTAAGACAATGTGTGAGTTAGTCTGTGTGTGAGGCAGTCGGTGTGTGAGGCAGTGTGTGAGCCAGTCACTGTGTGAGACAGTAAGGCAGTATGTGAGGCAGTCAGTGTACAGGAGGCAGAGTGTGAGTTTGTGTGACCATCACCATGTCAGCCAAGTCAGTCAGGGTGTCCTTTAGTGTCTCAGTTAGTTAGCTGATAGGCTGTTTCTGGTCAATAGCACAATCCATCAAATTTAGTTCAAAGTCTTTTGCTGCATTAGTGCTGGAAAACTGAAATATAATTTTGCACCTTGAAACATATCAGTGGTAGACTAAAACAGACTGTCCATTAATTTCAGCACTTACAGTGGAAACTGTAAACCAATGATCAGTTCATCAAACCTATTCCAGACAGACGTGGTATAGGTAGATATAACTGGAGTTTGGTTACTTCAGAGTTAAACAGTTAAACACTAAATCTGACTACAGTCATACTGTACATTAAAACTACAGCAAATCATTTGCCATAAATTAAATGACTACTTGTGCAAACACAGTGAAGTTCTTAAAATATGATCACTGCCTTGAGTGATATCAGGTCGGAAATCTCTTATGTTTCTTTACAAACTACATAATAGAAGGATGGGTCTGTTTTCAAACACAGAGCAAAGAAACAGGATTTGACTGCTGGAAAGTTTCCTGTTTGAGCTCATCTGGAACAGGATGAAGAAATGCTGGCATTGTTTGTATAAAGTATGCTGAGTGTTGTATGAGCCCATTCGGTAATCTGCTGGTGAGGTACTGACTTTAATGCTGAAGCCTTTCCCCTATTTAATTTCATGTGGCCTTTTTTCTACACACACAAAGAACATGTGCTGTTGTCCGCAGCTACAGTAGATGAATCAACTAATTCATTCATTTGCTTTAAAAGAACAGCTTCTCTAACCTGAAGCAGAGGAGGGTAAGCAAGGAGGTTTTGTCACATTTCCCCACCAGATAACGCGACTCTGTAAATGAACACTGCAACCTTGTGAAACTCATTTAATTACCTGTGCATTCCCTCTCATCAAGCCTGGGGAGGGTCTTTATAAGCTCTTATTATTTTGCTGAGATTCTGTAGGTTAGAACAGGGATGGAAACTAAATTCCTGGAGGGCCTAGTGTCCTCTGGGTTTTAGTACAGCTCAAGAAGTCCATCAAGCAATTAACCTATTTATTTTGTTGATTAGATCTTTTTTTTTTCTGAAGGTGGTTTACAGCTGATCACTGAAGAAAACACACTTTAGTAACAGTCCAGTTAACACAACTTCAATCCTGCCTGGAGGTGTTCACTGTTAATTAAATAATTAGTGGCTTAACTGAGAGAGGTGGAACAAAATCCTGAAGATGCTAGGACCTCCAGGAACAGAGTCTGTCAAGCTTGATTTAGACAGAATAAAAGAGAAAACATACACACTGAAATTGACCATACAGTATGTAAGACATGAGGGTGATGAAGCGATAATGGTGTAAAGTGATCTCTTCTTCCCTGAAGCTAAGCCCATGTGTTCTAACACCACTGAATGATTCTAAAACACTTATCAGTTTCCTGGTCATATTTCCTGGTTCTGGTAATACTGACCCAAGTTTAATTGTCTGCTGTGCAAGAGCTCATAATGATTGGAGTTAAGAAATTGGACAGTTATTACAATTTTGTAATAAATAATAGAAATGTTTTTATTATACAGTATATATTAATCTGAGAACCAACACTGAGAGTGACACTCAGTGTGGAGTCACCACCCTGACAGAAATGGAACAGATTGCAGCAGACCATTGAATCTGGGCCAGTATTAGTTTCCCAGGTACCATTTTAATGTGGCTGATTGTTCCATGATGCTTCTGGCGACTCTGATCAGAATCTGCCCCAACTGTGGTGACTCTTCACAGCTGGTGTGCAAACTGTGGCTCTAGACAATTTACTCTGGGGTGCAGGATACTTCACAAATGCAAGAAACAGTTCAAACGCAGTGAAAAAGCTTTACTGTTTAATCATCCCGGCTCTCAAGAGCCCCTCAGGAGCCTGAGATGTCCACTGTGTCTCTGTGTCACTAACCCCAGGGCACTAACCTGTTGTCTCTCCCTGATCAGTGTTGAGAATCTAGTGGGATACCCAGGCCACCTGCTTAGGAAGTCTGGCCAGTGTGAAAGGTTGGATATGAAGACGTGTGTCTTTTTTTTCCTTCCCTTGCGTCTGCTTTACCTGTCTGCCTGTTACAAGACCGCATTGTGCTTTGGCAACTGGTACGCTGCATTAAGCAATAGCTTTCTGCTCAGTGTTAAGCCTGAAAAGCTGATAAGCTGAGTGCATGCTCCTGTGAGGTTCAGTTACAACAGCGGTGAAGATGTCAGATACTGCCTTCATGCTGTGAAGTTTCAACAGTATACTGTGCTACACAAGCTCCTGGTTACTCTCCTCTTTGGATCCGTTACCCGACCTTTACTCTGCTGAACAGTTTTTGATATTTTTTCCATTCCCACAGCATATATCAAAACGTTCTGCAAACATATCATTTTTCCTAGTTTGTTAAATATTTTAGCAAGATACCTTTTTCAGTAGGATTTAACAAAACTAACCCAGTACCCTCTTGCGTTGGTATTTAGCCTCCATCTAAACGTTTTTTATTTCTTATCTCTGGAATAGATACTCATGGCTCTACAGTTCTCAAAGGGTCATGAGTTTCTGACAACCAGTTATTTTTTAAATATGGCAGTTACATTCTGGGCACATCCTACATATATGCTGGTGTTCAAATTAAAAAATTTGTTCAAAGTTAAAATGCTTTACATTTTTTAAATGGTTATAAAATGAGAGCACAGTTCACATCTCACTTGGTTTTGGTGAATCTTTTGTGTATTGATATGGCTACCTGATTCATTTACTGAACTGCAAGGGTGAAGAACACATGACAGAGATACAGATCGTTAACTCACATTCACTGCATGTTTAGAATCTGTTTAAAAAAGAGGTAGGGTCAATGAACGTTTGATCATGTCAGGAATCCTCAGCATGAACAAAACTTTGATGACTCACAAAGTGAAATCCTTTCACGAAATGGATATCTTGTCATTAAAATCCACACTATCCAAAGTGGAACAGTAGGTATATAGCCATCTGTGCATAAATCACACAGAAAAGATACAGGCATTGAAATGCTTCTCCAAAATCTCAACACTAACAGTCCTCTAGGAAACACTTCTAGACTTGTTTTATGGTATGAGAATTGACCGTCCTGTGCTTTTATCTTCCTGCTTTAGATAAACACTACAAACTACTTGCTGGCTAAGAAAGACCTTTTTTTTCTTTTTCAGTTTATTACTGCCAAGCCTTGTTTTTCCTGAGCCCTGAACTTCATTGCAGATGCTCAAACTAAAGTCTGGACAATGCAATGTACAGTGGAAAGTTTGTTGATCGTATGTGTGCTTTATTTAGGCCTGCTGGGTCTTCTGGATCCATTACAATCAAATGCAAAGACCTCAGTGTCCTACAGCTGGACATCCCTGGCATGGAGGAGTGTCTGAACGTTGCCAGCTCTATTGAGGTAAAACAACTGCTGCTCAACACTCTCTAGGTTGCCTGGTGGTGCTGACACTTCAACAGCTCCCTTGTGTAACTAAAACCAACATCTCGCAAGGCTTACTGATGCATTTCCTCCTGCTGGTGTCTTTCCAGGCTCTCTCCTCCCTGGAGTCAGTGACAGAGATGTACCCCTTCTTCTACAGACCCACTACACTGAGCCTGCAGAACAAGTGGGGCTTGTCTACCCCCGAGGAGGACTTTCAGCAAATAGCTATTCACGTAAGCACGCCTACAGCGGGCTGCAGACAGTTTCTAATGCTTTAAGCACCAGACCTGATGCTTCCACCCCCCAGAAAACAGCCGAGATCATGCTAAAAGAAAAGTCCTCACACAAAAAAAGTTTAGCATTTCATGTCTGAGTCCTATGGCTACAGTTAGATTGAGTCTTTGGGGGAAAAGCAACAAAGGTGAACACATAGCGAAATCAGAGGCATGTTTCTGACTTTCAGCACGTGCCGCCTCTCTCAGTAACGCGACAGGAAGCAATTCAGAGGGGAGAAGGAAGTGAAAGGGTGGGCACAGGCGAGGGTGTGCAGGTATCACTTCCTGCTCAAGGGGGGAAGTAGGACAAGACAAGTGAAACTCTGAAGCCCTGCTTAACATGACGGCAAAAACCCTTTACTTGCTAAAGTTTAATAACTGCTTGGAAGGAAAACGTAGCAGCCACTCCACCCTGCTGCCCTCCCACTGCTTGAAAACCATTTCAGGAGAGAATAAAAGCCGTGAGGCTTCTGTGAACACGTAGAAAAAAGTGACATGCTGTCCGCCCACATCGTACAGGAGATCCTATCATGAGTCATTTTGACTTCACTTCTAGTAGAAAGCACTGTCCCTGCTGCCTGCTGCCCAGTTGATTTAGAAACCGCGCCTCGTCGGGCTCCTGTCTTGCAGAGTGAGCGCTGGAGACTGAGTGACGTGAACAGGGACTTCTCTGTGTGTCCCACCTACCCCCCCACCGTCATCGTCCCCAGGGCTGTGGAGGACGAGCAGCTGAGGAGAGCCGCCCGATTCAGGCAGGGGGGGCGGTTTCCCGTGCTCAGCTACTACCACAGGAAGAACGGCAAGGTAACCCGCCCGCCCGCCAGGCCCAGCGAGGACCCCTCGCGCAGTCGCTCTTGTCTGGAGCGGTCCAGAGCCATGCCAAGAAAGATGTGGTGGTCAAGAACAGTGAATTCCCAGCAGGAAATAATAATCATACTCTTTACAATTACATAGCACCTTCCTGGACACTCCACTCAAAAGCGCTTTACAGGTAATGGGGATCTCCTCCACCACCGCCAATGTGCAGCCCTACCTGGATGATGAGATGGCAGCCATAGTGCACCAGTCCGCTCCCCACACACCAGCTCTCAGTGGGGAGGAGAACAGTGATGAAGCCAGTTCAGAGATGGGGGTTATTGGGAGGTCATGATTGGTAAAATCCAGGCTTGGAAATTTGGCCAGAACACCATAGTAACACCCTACTCTTTTCGAGAAACACCCTGGGATTTTTAATAATTACAGAGAGTCAGGACCTCGGTTTGACATCTCATCTGAAGCACATCTCCTTTTTCACAGTATAGCGTCCCTGTCAATATACTGGGGCATTAGGACCCACACAGACCGCAGGGTGCGTGACCCCTATTGGTCCCACTAGCAGCTCTTCCAGCACCAACCTTAGCTTTCCCAGGAGTCTCCCATCCAGGTACTGACCAGGCTCACCCTGCACACCAGATGAGCAGCCAGCCGTGAGTAGCAGAATGATACAGTATACTGTAGCTGATGGCAATTAATAATTAGCTAAGCTAGAAAGCAGGACCTTCTGGAGATGCTTCTAATTCCTTCTGGTGTATATTTATTTATAAGCATAATATGACTTTTGTGTTCTTAAATCACACTTTAAACCTTAAAGGTATTAAGTGGCTGAAGTTAGCTATGCTGTGCTGAAGAATTCTAATTAAGGAGATGTATGTGTCCTTGGTTGTTAACAGTGACTTTTGAGAGTTCTTTTTCCTAGTATTGTGAAATGACCACATCGATTTCATATTTACCTTTCCAGAATCTGTCCTCCATATAATCTTGCCTCCCTAAATCCCCTCCACCTGACTGATGCTTTGTGAAGAGAAGTTCTGTGTTAATGCCTTAGAGATTATTCCTCTTGCCGTTCTTCAATCTCAGAAAAAGTTTGCTCTTCCTGACAAGCCACAGTGGCTGAGAGTCTAGCTAAACATTTTGAAATATATAATATATAGGCATGTGTGTGTACAGGGAATGGCCATCTTCTGTCCATGCACTGTAAGTGAAAACAAAACTCGCTGTCTGTATCATTGATAGAAGTAGACAAACCCCAAAATAGGCAGTATGGCGGCACTATTCCTCTATAAATAAAGCACGCAAAATAAACAGTGTGTTCTTCAGCTTGGGAGCCCAAGCTTTTTCTTTGTCTCACACACTCACTTTGCTGAAAACTCACCCACATCCAATTCCAAAAACAGCTCTTTATTTTTATGAACTTTCGATCTCCTGCAAAGTCCACTCGGCAGTTCCCCTGGTGAATTAGTGCAGTCACTAAATACAGCTAATATGACAGCGCCCGTGTGCTCTAGTCTGCTACCACAATGAGCAAAGTCTTACCACAGCAGCCAGCTGCAGACGTACTGTATTCACAAGCTGGCAACAGCAGAGGGATATTAATCTGATTCTGTCCCTTTCAAAGATACCACTGTGCTGAATTAGAGATTTCTGCCTTACAGATGACAGTAGTATTGTTCAGAGTGGCTATACAGTACAACAGCTGCAGAATGTCAGAAAGTACTGAAACGCTGAAGGTACTTTCACAAAACGCAACATGAAGGAGCTTCTCACTTGACTTTTTTTTTCAGACACCTCTGAGAATTGCAGAGCTAAAGTGAAAATCCTCAGTTCCGTCTGAAAGCCTGTAACTGTAGCGCATGTTTGTCACACTTTCGAAATGCTAACTGTGATAAATGTGCCTTTTCACCAACAGCTCTCATCTTAACAGGAGTTCAAAGTGCCAGTTAAAAAAGAATTCGCATGCATCTGCAACATGTCTAAGCATGATGTGCTGGGCTTTATGCCAGCAAACACTGTTTTGAGAAAACTGACCTTCTGAGTGCCTCTTATAATCAGACTCAGAATCACTTTATTTGCCAAGTGTGTTACATGTGCAAGGAATTTGGTCTGGTGCAAACACATAGCACTTCACACAAAGAACATGCACAGCCCACAATTTTAAACATTAAATACACACTACGTGCTGTATTCGTGTGTTCTGGTCAAGCAGGGTGATGGCAACAGGGAAGAAGCTGTTCTGATGCTGGGCAGTACTTTATAAGACCCAAAACCCTGTGCCCAGCTGTGTTTTGATATCCTCTACAGTTAGTGCAGAATTCCTCGGATACCATAACAAACATCTTGGACTTTTTTTAATCCTATCTAAACAGCAGATCTATTCTGCGCCTAATGACTTCCACATGAGTTTCCCCATGAGAGTGAGAACAGGGAGAAGAAATGCAGAGAGGAGCACGTGAGCACACAGTCTGCAAACAGGCCTGGGGATCGGACGTATTCGCGAAGGCCAATTTAAAAACAGAATGAAGTTTGTTTGTTTGTTTTTCCAGTGAGCCTCTATTGCTATAGGTATGGGTTTCCAAACTGGGGGTGGGATCTGAAATTGTCTAGGCTGCCATTCCCTCAGCTAGTTCAGGTAGGGAGCTGCGTCAGCGTGCATAGGCTGCAAAGGAACAAGTAAGAGCACCCCTGAAGAAGACTCCACAACCGAAACGTTGCATTTCTTCTCTTTTCTTTTTGGAATGGAATAAACCTTTACTTGCTCCTTTGCATTCCTCAGCTTGGGGAGTCAGACCAAATAATCTCTTCCTTGTCCCTCTATTAGACTGAACAGACTGACGTTGGAAATCACTTGCAAAACAAAGAATCTGAAACGAATAAGGCGGCTGGAATAAGTGGTTTGTTTCTGATTGGGCCGCGGGGGAAAGGAAGGGTGTGGGGAGCGGCTCGCGAGGAATTCGGACCTGGTGCCGGCAGGCCTGAGCCCCTCCCGTCTCTCCCCAGGTGATCGTGCGCAGCAGCCAGCCCCTCACCGGCGCCAACAGGAGGCGCTGCCGGGAGGACGAGCTCCTGCTGCAGGCGGTGATGGACGGCTCCGAGCGAGGCTACGTCATCGACACGCGCTCCCCACAGCTGGCCCAGCAGGCCCGGGTGACGGGGGGCGGCTTCGAGTCCAAATCCAACTACTGCAACTTTAAGAGGCTGCACCGCCACCTGGAGAGGTGGGAGACGTGAGCAGGGTCGATGGTCTTGCGCCCAGGCAGGGTCTCTAGTGCCCCCTGCTGGCAAAGTAGTGCAGGACGCAAAACATTTTGGCGAAATTCTTGCGTTCAACTCCATGCACATCTTTGTGTTTCTGCCTGTTTTTTTCTTTCAACACATTAATGAGGATTAGTGCTCAGCAGAACAATACAGCACAGATGTTTTGATCTCAGACAGACATATGGTTTACTTGAAGCAGTAAAAAGAAGCAGCACAGTTGTAATACTGTATATATAAACACTCTGTGAAAGAACATAAGAATGGTTCTAAATGAGAGGAGGACATTCAGCCCAGTTGCTAGCTAGTAGCTAACTGATCTGAGGATCATCTTATCTGACCGTTTATTTAAAGAATCCAGGGAACCAGCTCCGACAACATGGCTGGGCAGCTTGTTCCATTCTCCCACAACCTCCTGGGCAAAGAAATGCCACCTGTTCTTAGTTTTAAGTGCACTTTTTAAGTGATTGTGCGAGAACTGTTCTTGAATCTTTAAAAACTGCCTGTGCCTGTGCGAATCTGATTGATCTTGATTTTATGAGATTAAATGAATCTAGATTAGATTCATTCATTAGATTGAATGAACCGATTTTCAGACACACTGCGCAGAGGCTACAGAAACTGTGTCCCCGACGGTAGGACTTGGCCAGCACTGAATAAATACAGCGGTTGACCCTGAAACCAGGCAGGAGAAACGTGGCAAAAGAGAAAATCATCTTTCTGCGGGTGATGGAGCGGGGGACAGGACTCCACGACGGCCTCTGGTTACACTCATGCCTTGTGTGTTGTGTCGCGCAGGGGGAAGGCGCTTCAGGAGAGCCTGATCAAGCTGGTGGAGGCCTGCACTGACCAGTCCAACAGCACGGACCGCTGGCTGAGCCGGCTGGAGAGCTGCAGGTGGCTGTCGCACGTCAGCGCCGCTCTGGTGGCCGCGGGACTGCTGGCGGAGTGTGTGGAGCGGTGAGCCCCCGCCGGTATTTACAGCTGATGCTTAATTCGAGTATCTCTAGCAGCACATGTGACTGCTGGAAAGGTTACAGAGAAGAGGAGGGTTTAACAGCATAGCTGGATAGCTTGTTCCAGTCTCCCACAACTCTTGATGTAAAGAAATGCCTCCTATTCTTCCTCTTCATCCACTTCCTCTTCCACTGTAAGCAGATTACGCCCTGCCCAAGATGAGATACCGTATGAAACTGCTGGTGAAAGTGATGAAACCCATTTAAACAGATGGGTTGGATTTCAGCAATCGTGGTGAAGCATCTTGGTCAAGAACACTACATTGGTGTCATCATTGATCATCACTGATAACTTAAAAATGAGGCCGTCTCACACACGAAGAACACATCAGATCGCAAAGTCAGTGTAACAGCACAAGTGGTGAGAGGAAAGGCGCAATAATGAGCTACAGAAAATGCCAAGTATGGAGTCACAATGTTGGGCCATTTCCAGAGGGCTCATGAGTCATATGTTCCTGAGGCTAATCGAGCTCTCAATTATGACATAGAAACAATTATTTAACCTTTAGCCTCAAATTGATGATGGCTATAAAAAACTCGTGACGGGCTGGAGCTCTGCAGAACCACGATTGGAGTGGTGTAGAGTAATAAGCTCTTATGAACTGTATGATGTAGTGTCCCGAGGTCCGTGTACAGTTCTGTACCACGTGCCGCCTCTCTCAGTAACGCAAGGCTTAAGGCTTAAGGGGCAGCTGGAAGTAGACTAGAAATGCAGCGAGAAAACCAAATTTGTGTTATGTTAAGGCAATTCAACAGGTCTGGTATGGGAAGCGGGTGATCTGAGCTCTGTTGAACACAACGTACTGAAGATGTCCTAACTAGCAACCACTCGTCCACCACACGTGTAAAGCTAATGTGGTTTCCACTCAAGAGGAAGTGGTCCGAGTCTGGCAGCCCTAGCCATTTATAGAGCTATGGGAGTGAGTTGTTGGCGCGTTTAGGCTCAAAGGAGAGCGGCACTGTTCGGATCACCCCGAGCTCTTGGCAGTAGCCTGCTGGTACAGTCTCCGGAATGAAAATAAGACTCCTTTAACCGAGGGTTACGGGCTTGAATAGCTGCAAATCCTAGCTCCTAATCCTATACCAGCTGCTGTATATCTAACGTTACTTTCTTTTTGAGTAGAACTTCAATAGTAGTTCCAAAATCGTAAACATATCTGTTGTTTTTTTTTTCCTTAACCGGTTACAAATACACAAGATCCTCCATCTCCTGAAATCTGTCTGGATCACAGTGCTTTACCGTGGGGGGGGGGGGGTCTGATTTCCATGCTGGGCAGGCTGTAGGGATGGGGGCTGCATCAGGCTGTGCCCACCTGAGGTGTCTGTGTCCCGTGTGCGCAGGGAGGGCTGCTCAGCGCTGGTGCACGGCTCCGAGGGCACCGACACCACCCTGCTGGTCACGACGGTGGCCCAGCTCATCCTGGACCCCCGCTGCCGCACCTTCGGGGGATTCCTGGCTCTGATCGAGAGGGAGTGGCTGCAGGTGAGGCCCCAGGTGGCTGGGTGCGTGCAGGACCACCCCGCCGTCCGCTCTCTGCCTTCCTGTGAAACCCAGCTAAGTTTTCCCACTGCTGCTTTACTTTATTGAGTGCTCTGAGCTGCTGAGCAGTGGAACACACTATGTGGAGCAGAAACTGCCCGCCGCCAGCTCATGGCGCGAGCTGAGATGAGCGATTAGCCCTGCATTGTTTAACTAGCCGGCCTGTCTCGCTGAGCAGCGCCTGAGCACTCACTCACTCACTCACTCCTCCTCCTCCTTCACCCCCCGTGCCGTCCCGATGTCTGCCCCTGCCCCTGCCTGCTCCAGGCTGGCCACCCCTTCCAGCAGCGCTGCGCCCACTCGGCCTTGTCCCACGCCCGCCCGCGCCACGAGGCGCCCACCTTCCTGCTGCTCCTGGACTGCTGCTGGCAGCTGTGCCGCCAGTTCCCCCTGGCGCTGGAGTTCAGCGAGGCCCTGCTGCTCAGGCTGGCTCGGGAGGCCTACGCCTCCAACTTCGGCACCTTCCTCTGCAACAGCGAGAAGGAGAGGTGAGCAGGAGCAGGGCATCCTGGGAATAACCAATAGGACCGTCTGTGGTGCCAATGAACCTGCCTCTTTAGACATTAATTACAGTCGTGTAACATACTATATTTCTGAACTGCTCAGGATGCTTTGATCTAAATCAAACACAGATTAGCACTTTAGAAGATATTTATAATATTAGGTATTCTGCTGTTAGACATGTAGGTTGTAGGAAACAAAAAGAGGACAAATGAAAAAAAGGGAGTGGTCAAGTGAAATATTTAGCACACTTCAGTATATTTCATTTACCCAAAGAAATGTCACAATTTGTCATGCTTACTTCTGTTGTTAACTAGTGCTTTCGTCATTATGGATGATGCAACATAGAGGTACATTTTTTAAAAAACAGCTGTTCTCCTTACAGCCATTAGGTGGCAGTAATGAGCACGTAGCTCTCTGCCTCGCTGAAATCTCAAGCCCACTCCTGGCAAGTGAAAGGAGTTTTGGCACTGTCCTTACACCATCCCTTTCCAGTGTCATGAAGTACTTCCGAGTTTGACTTTATAGTAGACAAACTCCCAGAGGCATGTCACTGAGTAGAAAAATGTGATTTGACGTCTTTTCTCACGGGCTCGCCTATCCTGTTCTTGTGAATACCTATTCCTGTTTTGTCAGGCTTATTCGGAAGCTAACAGACTTCATTCGGCTTGCTCAGGGCACTGAAGTGCAGAGCACGGGATTCTGTCTTAGCTTGTGCCAAAGATGTTCTCTTACTGTTGTGCTTTTTAACCGGAGCCCCCTGGCCTGCTGTCTCCAGGTGTGCTCTGGGAGTGAAGACGAAGACCCACTGCCTCTGGGGGTGGCTCAGCCAGTCCTGTGAGCGAGACGAGCTCTCCAACCCTCTCTACCAGCCCACAGAGCTGGCCATCTGGCCCTGCGTGAAGCCCCAGGCCATACAGCTGTGGAGAGGTGGGTGGGAGGGCATGGGCGTACCTACGGCACCACAGCTCCAAGGCACAGCAGCCAGAAAACTGCAAAACATGCAGTGGAGTGACAGCGAATTAACTGCAAGGTCCCCAAGCCCTCAGAGGGTGTTATGCTGGAAGATAAAAGATGTTCCTCCTAATAATCTGCACTCCAACCTAAGGTTGCTTGACGGCCTGTGGGGGCGGTAGTGTGGGCAGTAACCGCAGGGATTTCATGTTACGCCTCTGTGGTCTGTCTGACCAGGAGTCTTCTCTAAAGGAGATGGACTCCCCACTGCCTTCCATCGTGGACAGCAGTCCAGACCCTTCTAACAGTCCGGCTGGGCTTCATCAGACTTAGTATGACATGCTGAGTGTGACTTGGGGGCTGTAACTCAATCTAGACCTTGAGGTCTTTCTAAAGATTGCTGTGAGAGAAAATTATCTGGAGCTTCTTATTGGGGATATATGCCTACTAATGAGAACAAATGATGCCTCACATGTGCAGAAATTCCATAAATCTTTTGTCTGTGAAAAGTCTAAATTCTATTTCTTAAGACAGTCTGTCCCCTGGAAGATTCCCTAAGCCCCAGTGAATAAACAGGTTGTCACCAGAACAGCTGGACAAGATCCTTAGATCATTCTCCTGCTCCGAGCAACTGCGCAAGCTTGGCGGACAGGATGACCTACTCCCGCTTGTAACCTTCCTCCTTCCCACCCGATCCTCTCTTCCTCTGCCCTGTTTCTAGGGCTGTTCTTCAGATGGACGCACAACGCCAGATATCTGCAAGAGGCCTGGGAGGAAATCAGCCACCTAGTGAAGCAAAGCAAAGCAGAAGGCTGCAAGGCCAGCATGGGGCTGGAGACTCCTGCTGCCCAGGTTGCAGTTTAGGACACGCTGTGCACCTCAGTATGATGCACTGAAGTCCATGATATTAACAGCAACACGCCAGCTCTCTCAGAGCCTGGGAAGAGCTGCAGAGGGGCTGGAACAGATGGATGACCAAGCACATAACTGCAAATGGGTGGAAAAGGGACACAATGCAATAGACACAGAGAAGACTGCTGTAAATCACAGGGTAGATAAGAATGACTACTGTATAAGCGCCAAGCTTCTAAAAAATGCCACTAGCATTTTTTAGTATAGCTGTTCTTCTCAAAATGCTGTGCTGGTGATTGAGGGGAATGTATTCTGTACAGACTGTACTGTATGCTAGCAGCTGACAGAGCTGAATGTTAAAAATGTTGGTCATCTCCTGCTTGTTTTCCCGGTTTGAATGTGATGGATTGTCAAGATGTTAAAACAGGCTTAGACCTGGATTAAACTGCAATATTGACTTTCTTGTTGAAGAAACTCAGCAGATGTTGTGATGTGATGATGTGGTTACACTGCGGATGAGGAAGAAGTGCCTGGCAAATGAAGAGTCATTCTTAATTAATGATTTACACTTGAGTCTCACAGATATATTGAAATTTTGATTTAACACTGGCCTTCCCTTCAATATCCCAGGAGTGCCCAGCTTCAGCCCTTAAAACCGCTGTAGTTCCTGTAGTTTTCATTACAAACTAAACTAATTATGCGCTCAAAATGGAAAAATGATGCAGTAGGGACTGTCCTTGAGGACTGCCTTTTTACATCACAGGGATCCATAAACCACAGCAACAGCTGTAAAACACCAAAAGCAAAGAAGTGGACTGAGGCTCTAACTGAATATCTGCTATATTAGCTAAAATCGACAACACCTCCAATATACTGTGCATAAATGCAAGAAAAATAAGTTACACTATGTCACGAAGCGTTCTTTCAGGACCCTGTGCAGACAACACGATCCGGGGGGGGGTGAAGAAAACCGGGGAAAGAGGCATGCAAGGGGCTGGAAGGAAAACAGGGGGCGTGTCCACAGTGCGCTGGTGTTCGGGGGAGGTGTGGCCGAGGCAAATCCGAGGGTGTAGCAAATGTCCAGGACCAGGTAATCCATCCTGACAGACAAACGGAGTTAAAAGCCGGAGCGGGATCCGGCAGAGCGTCGGAGGAATAAAAAATCGGGGGTAATGGGACCAGACTCCGGTAGTCAAGCCCGCCGGTGAGCCGCTCCTGGGTAGGTTGTGTCCATCTTCCAAAGCAGAGCCCCCGATTGGCAGGAACGTCTGGTTTATACAACACGGGGGGCAGGACCCGGAGGCAGGTGCAGGAGATGAGTAATAAACAAGGAAGGGCTGGAGCCTCCTTAAAAGGAGAGGTTTACGATCGTGACAGTATATCACAGAAAAGACGCTTCTGAATGCTTTCGGGTAGAGAAATCTGAACAATTTTGCTCGTATCAAGTCCTATTTGGAGTATCCCTTTTTAGGAAAAACCGAAAGGTATTATTTAACAACGAGTTGTGCTTTAATTTAGCAAAAACGCCTCGACTTTACAGGATTAAGGTAGCAATGTACTGTACCCTTCCACTAAAAGCTCTTGACCGTCATTCATTACAATTCTTTTTAATCCGCGCTGATTATCTTTGGATGGGATTGGATAGCCAATTAATTACATCTCCTGAAGGGAGGAGACGAGCAATACAAAACGCTGCATCAGAGAAAAGAAGTCGATGTGGAGCTTCGAGCTCTATAGAGTATCAGTGATACATTTTCATTTTATTGTAGTTTTGAGGGAATCCGATCATTTAATCCTCTGTTTCCTAATTACCTGGAGCAGGTGTACTCTTTTCACAAGTACCCGCTCTTTTCACAAGTTTGAAGTGGGGCCTAAATCATAGCTAAAACTGCTAATAATAAAACAGCAACACGTGAGTCACTTGCGAGCGTCAGATAGCATCGTGCTACATACTGATGGCTCCGATGCTACTACGCAGATAGATACTAAATCCTAATTATTTGCAGTCGATCCTTTAATTCCTTACCTGACGCATCTTATAGCTAAACAGCAACCCTAATGGGGAATCACCTTTTTGTTACGAACGAGCACTTTCATTATACATTACGAGTGATATGTTGTTACCCCGTACCGTAAGCGGAATGAACAACAAAACCGCCGACAGCCCTCATCACGCTCAGAGTCACAGGGAAAGCGACTCTGAGAGAACAGTTAACTAATCCCACGTATCCGATCAGTTGATTCTCATAGCCTCCGATACTATAATTATTCTGGGACAGAATAGGCGACTCACCACTAAATATTTTTTATATACAACTTTTTAAATAGCTATAAGGTTAATTATTTGCATCATCGGTAGGGGTTGCATAGTTGTACATTCTCTGTTTGAGATATTTATATTGCTATTAAATAGTATTGGATTAAATAACAGTTCAGAAACAAAACTTTGCTTGCTTACAATATAAAAAAAACGATTGCGAGAGCCATACTTTTAATCATTTTTCAGACAGGGAAATACAATCTGCATTCTGCACCCTAAGTGAGTAAATAAAAACTTTAAACTAATCCCCCATTTTATGTTCTCACTATGAGAAAAAAACAACAACAACAACAACAGACACGTGTTGTTTTGTTTTTCAACTAAATCTTTTGCTGTCCCCCCCAAAAGCCCAGGTCAGCTAAACAACCACACACCAAGCACAATACAAATTCGCAGCGTGCGCCAAGTCAGCATCTTTCTACATACACTTTCCATTGCAAAGTGGGTTATGTAGTCTTACGGAAACCGCACTGAGCAACTCGTACACCCTGCGCAGGAAGAATGGAACTACATTTCCCAGCATGCAACTCAAAGGCCACACATTCGACCAATGAGCGTTCTGTCCGCTCTGTCCGCAGCCAATCAGACGGTAATCCTGTAATTCTAACGGTTAAATACCTCAAAATCCTTATCACTGTTATTTCCCATACATTTGCCGTGAAGGTGCGGAAATTACCTGCGTTTTCTTAATTGTCTTTTTTTTTGTAGTTCTACTTCAGTACAGTGGCGTCTTCAAGATCTTTGGGGGTAAGTCGGCTCACTTTAATCTCGATAGTTTCGGAGTTTCAGAAATTTGCTTTGGATTTTTATTCACCGTTAAAGCGCTGAGGTACAATTTGACAGTTAAAGGTCTTCATGCAGATCAACAAAAATGCCCCCCAAAGAGACAGAGGAACTGGAACCAAATGTGTTTATTTTGCCCTTGTTATTATTTTTTTGTGTTTCATTTAAAGCAATTTCACTAACAACACGCAGAAACGCAGAACAGACCAGGAGAAGTCGAAGTTCTGAATCTTTTTCGTTCTTTTCATGTGTTCACGGCTATTATTTCAGAAAGATGGAGCGCTTCAGAAGGCTTGACTAAGCCCGCTGTAACATTGATAGGGGCTGAAAGAAACACTGTTAACGCACAAGGAGATTCAGTCCGATACTCTGCGTTTTGCGTTTAACATTTTTGCGTGTGTGGATGGGGGGGTCGGCTTTGTATTTATTTCCCCAAAACATGAAACTCAGAAAAATCAATTTTTCCACGCCCTCAAGTATATGATAACCAAGAAACCCAAATCAGCTACGACAGACGTGTTTACAGTTTTCATTACAGTAAGTGCTTCCAGTGAAATGACGGAAAAGGGTCTCCTGGGATTTTAATCGGTTTGCATATGTGTGCGACGCTTCGCCTTTTTCCCCCCTCCACCTGTCACCTCCTGCCCAGAGGCCGCTGCTGTTCGCTATGTTGCCGCCCACTGTGCGGCTCTGTGTGCCCGCTGCGGCTGTGCAGAGGTCGCTCCGTTGCGGTTGTTGGTCCCAGCGCCAGGCCAGCACAAGACATCCGGACCCAGGCGACACCCCCACACCAGGGAACCCGCGAGTGCTCATCACAGGTACCGCCGAAGAGAAGGCGCCACAGACGTGCTCTTAAGGTTTAAATTCCTCCGTGAGCGCAAAGCACTCTGAAACTGCGGATCGGTAAATAACGCGGTGAAGTCTATTCTTGTCAAAGAGAACTACATGATCATTTCGAGAAGTATACTGTATAGTGGCAGTATTATTTTACCTCACACGCCACGGCTGGAGTTAACCAGAAATGTTTTTTTTTTAATATATATAAATACTCTTTATCAGAGGAAGACGCGGCGTGTAGGTTTGCGAATTATGTATACAGGTTGTATCTACATGTTAAATGAAATGATTTCGAAAACAACCAAGATCTGAATACAAAAGCGACTGAATTATATATTTTCCACATCATTTGAAAATATGAACGTGTATAATTGAACAAAATACCACCGCTATCAGTTAGGACTCCCTCATTTTCAGTACAGGTGAGTGGGGATTTTGTTTTTTTTTTAATCATTAAATACTGGCACAACTAAGACTGAAAGTAACAAGTCATTTAAAAAATGAAGTGCGCAAGATTATATGCATTCTGTAGAACAAAATATATTGTTTGCGGGTTTCAGTTCGAATTGTTCTGACACTTATGTTATTCTCTAGGTGGTCTGGGACAGCTTGGGATCGGATTGGCCCGTCTTTTAAGGTGCGGAAAACGACATTATTCTGCTTGTGTCCTGGGTTCGGTCGGCAGGAGTCGGACAATACTCTGAGATCCAGGAACGTCCATCCTAGCGCAGTTATTTCTAGACTATCAGCGAAAATAGTCATTTTCCTTTCTAGCGTGTATTCTGCCCTCTGTTCGGCAGTAGCAGTGTAGTGCCGCTGTCGAAATTCTTAACATTAGCTTGTGCAACATTTTGGGATTAATTTGCATACAGAACGGCGGTTACAAATTATTTCTGAGAAATTTTCTATTTACTTAATCCCCTCTTTCCCTGCCACAGGAAGCAGTACGGAACAGAGAATGTAATCCTGTCCGACATCAAGAAGCCTTCTGACGAAGTGTATAAAAGCGGTATGTGCGCAGATATTGCAGGCCATGAAGATCAAAAGGGAAACCTTAAGAGAATCTTATCATAAAAAAAAAGATTCTTCTTCTGCTGTTCAGCTATTCGTGCCGTGAATCCGGCCCGAACAACATGACCTGACCGACTGTGGTCTCCCTCCCCGTGATCGGCTCCCTGCCCTCTCACACACCGGCTCGCTGGCAGTCAGAGCACTGCACGGCCCGTTTCCGGTGTACAGTGAAACCAGAGAGGCCGAGGTCAGGCTGCTGGGAGCCCCGTGCTGTGCCCAGCTCAGGGGGGTGACTCCTGGCACCACCCCCCCTCCTCTCCCCGGGCAGGCTATAGGGTCTGCTGAACGAGGGCCGGATCAGCCCGGCGCTGACCTCCTCTCTCTCGGCCGGCAGGTCCCTTCGTGTACGCCGATGTCACCGACTACAACAACCTGCGGGAGCTGGTGACCAACCAGCGCGTCACCTGGCTGGTCCACTACAGCGCCCTCCTCAGTGCGGCCGGGGAGGCCAACGTAGCCCTGGCGCGCCGCGTCAATATCACAGGTAGAGCCCGGGTGCACCTGCGGCACTGCCACCTTGCCGTCGGCCTCTCCCGACTACAGCCTGCTGCTGAATATGGAGGCGGGAGCTGGGATTTGTTCTGTGGTGTCACTTTGTCATTTTCAGACCAGGTCTGGGGGTTTTCGCTTTCTTAAATCATTAAATAGGGGCACAACCAAGGCCGAAAGTGACATTCCGTTATACAAATTAAAGCGCACAAAAGGAGCAGTGAGGTCCTTTAATTCTGAAGAAAAAAATCTCAGAAATACTGTAACGTAGAAGATCCAGTCACAGCAAATCAGGACTTCCATGGAGAATAAAATCATGGTATTGCAATTGCGTGTGGTGTGTAAGTGGAGAGGAAAGTGCAAAGCATGTTTTTTTTTAAAGTTTTTTTTTAAATCTGCAAAGAATCTGCAAGACGGGCACTGCTCCCCTTTCTAAGGGGCCTCTCTCTTTGTCTTCACCTCCCGTGCGGGGCTGTCACTGGCGCACGGTCCTGACCCCCCTCGCTGTCCCCCCAGGGCTTCACAACGTGCTGGACCTGGCGCTGGAGCACTCCCTCCGGCTCTTCGTCCCCAGCACCATCGGCGCCTTCGGCCCCACCTCCCCACGCCACCCCACTCCCGACCTGTGCGTCCAGCGGCCGCGCACCATCTACGGGGTGTCCAAAGTGCACTGCGAGCTGATGGGGGAGGTGAGAGACCGCCTGAGCCGACACCCGGCCCTCGCCAGCTCAGTTTCCCCCTCCCGCGCCGATCGCAGGGCTTTCTCACACTGTATCTGCTCCCGGTCACAATGTACATTTCCAGTTGTTCATTATTAACATTATAGGATGAGTCGGGCATCTTCACCGACGCTGGCCGAGGTGAGAGAACAAACAGCAGATACGACAAACACAGGGATGATTCATGAGCTTGACACCAGACGAGTGACTGTTTAATCGGTTGTAAGCTAGTCATTTTGGTCAAATGAAAGGATCAATTTTACCAAAGCCCTGCCTGGGGTCTCTTGGTGCCCAACATAGTTAATACAGAGTTCTGGGCTGCATGGAATGACAGGCAGCCTCCCAGCATCCAGAATTAATCATTGGTTTGTTTTGGGGGAGCATCAGCTTTTCTGTCAATCAGCTGTATTTAAGCTGAAGGTCTATTTATTATTCAGGCTTAGAAAGAGGCTTTCGTGGAGCTGCCATAGCAAACGACGTCCCTGTCTGCAGCCATGTCGGCTGCTGAGTCCCCCGGGCAGACAGAGCCAGGTTAGCCTGGCCGGTGGAGGAGCGGGCAGGGAGCGGGCGAGAGTGTGAAAGACGAGGACTGGGCGACTGCGAGGACACTCCTCCTAAGTGCCACCTTACGTTTTCCGTTCGGCAGTATTTCCATCACAAGTACGGCCTGGATTTCCGCTGTCTCCGCTACCCCGGGATCATCTCGGCCGACTCGGAGCCAGGCGGAGGGACGACAGGTATCCTCGCTCTTGCGCACGGTCCCCTCTGGTGGCAGCGGACCCTGGGGCCCTCACGGGCGAAAATACACTACTGCACACTACAAGTCACCCGAGGACGGCTCCACGGCCGAAACGTTGTGTTTCTTTTCTTCTCTTTTCAGCAGGGAATACACCTTTACCTGTTCCTTTGTAAAATACACTACGGCAATCTGACCCACCCCCCCTGAGCAAGCAGCTTGGTTAACAGTCTCCCAGGGTATTAACTCCACTCCCCTCCCCTCTCCACTGCTCGTGGACGGCCTTCTTCCAGACCTCCCTACCCTACCCCTGCTAAAGAGAAGAACCCATTTCTCTCCGTCGGTCTCCACAGATTTGGCAAACAAAATCCGTTCAATTTCAAAGTTCAAAGCCACCACAAAGGTATGATGATGGCATCTCTAATGTCAGACAAAGGGTTCTCCAGCTCTGCCTCATGATGAGATTTCACATGCTGGTGAACATCTTATACAGACAAGAGCAAACCAGTGCTACATCCCGACTCACAAGTTCAAACAGCTGTTTCGTACCCGTCTCGCGGGAGAACAGATTCTGTGGCACTGACATAATCAACCTACCAGCTGAGGTTTGCATGTGCAAATTCCACCTTCGCCACCGTCAGAGTCATCAATTACTGGAACCAGTTCTGCGAACAGCTGGTACCCTCTGGCTGCCGCCTCTGAGTCACTGCTGCGCTTCCAGTCAGTTTTTCCCTGCTCCAGCTGATCTGATCCTTATCAAAACCTTCAGTTCCATTTCCTTTCCCATCCTATGAAAAGGAACTGAAAATACATGTATATCCCCTGTCCTCTCATCTTGGCTAGATTCTCTCGGAGAAAAGAAGGTTTTGGTCTGGTGTCCTCGGTGGGTATTGTTTTGCTGCTCAAAAGAACATACTGTGTACTGCTCAGATATCCCGTACCTGCTAGTTTATTATTGACTATTTTTAATTGTTTAACTTGATTTGTTTTCTGGCTCAACTCGAAACCTCACCGTCTTCGCCCTTTTCCCTCCCCGACGAGATTACGCGGTGAAGATCTTTCACGACGCCCTGCGAAGCGGCAGGTTCGAGTGCTACCTGCGCGCCGACACCCGGCTGCCCATGATGCACATCTCCGACTGCCACCGCGCCACGCTGGAGTTCCTGCAGGCCCCGGAGAGGCAGCTCTCCCTCAGGACCTACAACATCGCCGCCTTGAACTTCACGCCCGGGGAGCTGGCCGCCGAGCTGCGCCATCACCTGCCCCGCCTGGAGGTCATCTACACACCCGACCGCGTCCGCCAGGGCATCGGTGCGTCACGGGGGGCGCTTTAGGTTTTCTCGTAATTTCAAACGGAGAAGCTCGGCGCGTCTAAAAATGTCACATCGGTTCAATCGAGTCACTCATTTCTTTCGTAATGCAGAGCTTGGATTACTAGAAGCCGGAATTCAACATCAGGTTTCCTTTATGTTTCCACATTTAGGATAATTTATCTTTAAACGCATCGGCTGTCCTTTACCCCTCCTACAACGGCTTTCAAGCTGTTTCTGGAAAACGTCACTTAGGGAGCACATTCGAAACCAGGCTTCGCCGAATTGCAGGCGCTACTTTGCTCACATTGTGAGAAACGCAGAGATTGCAGTCTTGCGGGTCGGTCGTGGTCCAGATTGGTTCGGACACTGAACAGCGATAACAGCAAGCTGAACGAAGACGAAAAATTTAAAATGTAAGATTTGCGTTTGCATATACAGTCCAAAGACCTATGAAGCATCTTACATTCAGTGTCCACCCTGAATGCTGAGCACATCTCCCAGGACAGCCCCTTTCTCCCCCAGCAGGGTGCTGTATGAAGGTGACCACAGGGAGACTCTGTGCTGTGATTGATCACCAGGCCCTGGGCTGGTCACAGGACCGTAAAAATCGTTAATTGAATCAGCAAGTCACCTTCAGCCACAACACAGCCAAGCACTACATTATTTCCCCACTCAGTGCTGAAATCTGACCCGAACCTCATTATAAACGGCAAATTGCAGATCAACCGTGCTGTTGCACAAGGGCCCAGTGAGAACATCTCCAGAGCAAGACCATAAAGAAAGAGCTGCACTTTGCTTCTTCTTTCAGGTGTTCTAGGTTCTAGTCCAATTTTTCTGGGGGGGGATAGATGATAGAGGAATAAATACATTTCTGGCCCATCCAAGACATGGTTTTAGCTTAATGAAAAGCTAAAAGACTTGCGCCAAGTACAGTACTACTACTACTAATAATGAACAATAAAGTCAAACTTAAAGCAACAAGGGGCAGATTTGCTCCTTGGGTGACCCAAGGAAACTCAGGTCTTCATTCTGTCGCTGATCTATTTAACTAAGTCAGATGAATAAGTCCCAATTAGATATAAAAATCACCAGTTTTTGATTGGTTGCAAATTGAAAACTACCTGTAAAACCTGCAGCAAGCCGGGTATCTGAGGAAAGGAGGGATTTACAGGATCGTCCATGACTGTAAAGTTAAAATATCATTTCTTTTCTGTTGTGCAATATTGCTTACTAGCCTGGAGTGCATCTTCTAACCCCCGTTTGCGTTTGTAGCCGATGGCTGGCCGATGAGCTTTGACGACAGCAACGCTCGCAGGGACTGGGGCTGGAGGCCAGAGTTTGGGCTGCCCGAGCTGGTCTCCGACATGCTGAGCACCATCAAGGCCCAGACACAGAAGGACCACCCAAGGACAAGCTAGTGTCACCCTCCCAGGTTTCCATGGCAATGTTCACCACCTCCCAGGTCTCCGTGGCGATTTGGCACCAGCTCCTAGGTCTCTGTGGCGATATCCATTGTGTGGCAGAGCCCTCCTTCCATGTACCTGCAAGGGGTCTCCTCACCTGCATGTGTATTTACAATCAGGGTGCATGTGGGAGGTACAGATAGGCTTCTGAACATTGGGATTATTGCCATTATGATAAGTATTTTTTCCCAGTAAATCATTCTGTAAATATGTGGTAAATACAAGTTTTTAACTCTATTAACTTGCTCGAAAAACAGTAATGTTGTACACACAACTTCGTTGTACAAAAGACCTGAGGACAAAGACTTTCATCCTTGTTCCTACTATATGAAGAAACACTTGACATCTTGCAGTGTTCATTCTGAATAAACGTTATGTATTAATATTATGTATTCACTTATTCCATTTCTCTCAATTGGAATTAGCCATGGGTTGTTACCTACATGGTAGTCTTGTTGTGCGCTGTCTAGATCAATCTTTCATTACGCTATTGAAAAGAGCAGAAAGGACACCTAGGAAGTCAATGATCCATTGCAAGAACGCAGAGGTCCACTGTACTAACCTCCTGGGAACGACGGATCCTGCGTCAAATCCCACTGCTGCACAAGGGCAAAGCAAGGAGAGGCTCCACTACAGTGGAGCCGCTGTAGCAATGCAGCTGTGTGCAAACTGTCTGATATTAGAACACAGATTGACCAAAGGAAATGTTTTCTGCAGTGTTAGAAATTAAGCTGTGATTACACAGGAGCAAAGGTGAATTTCCTTAAAGCTTTATTCTCCTTCTGGAGTAAAATGCTTACAATTTCGGTTTTCATGATACAAAACGCGGAAAACTAGGGCAATCAGCAAAGATGTTTACTTTGATTACCTTACGCTGCAAGGCAAGCAACTTTCTAAATGCTCATATACCTGGGATTCCAGCATTGCTCTTTTTATATGAGCGTTATCCTACACATTGTGATACATCTCCCTCTCAGCAACCTTTCTGAATCCCCAAAGAGAAAAGACAGTACTTTTCTCATCACCCATCTCCTACACCGACAGCTCAGAAATCACAAAACAGCAGATATTCCGCTGCCGTGTTGCTGAATCTAGACCAGCCCATGAATAAAAAAACAACTTGCAACCAGCCACATAAGAAAAAGCATCAAGTGCATTCCATTCAGAAATGAGCTACATGTAGAATTTCGTATGACAAATGTGTCCAAAACCAGAAACAAGCCTGTTGTCCTACCAGCATGACATGATAATACAAGAAGGCAAAATGCAACTGAAATTCAGTTTATTAATGAACATTAGCAGAAGCTTAATTTAACCCCTTCTGCTTCCATTCTGAACAAGGCATGATTTTCCCCCGAACGCAATCTAGCTGCTGTACAAGGAACGAAAGGAAAAACAGAAATAAGGTGTGAAAATCCTTTTTTTTTTTTTTGCAGAGTCCAAAGGGGCATAGTATTGAACGCCATACTGAATCTGAATGAGCCATGGAGAATAGTTTCTGTCACTGCTGGATGCATTATTGAGAATGCACTGCTTTTCACGTTGAGTTAACAGAGAGGAATCAGCCTTCCACATGGCTGCACTAAACCTCAAACTCATACTCAAAGTACTGGGGGTCGAAGTAATGGATCCTGACGTAACCATCTTCACCACCGCTGCTGTAGCTGTGAAGAGACCAGCAGAGGAACAATTTCAGGGCATATTTGTGCCAGAGACGACGACAAAACCTGCATTGTCTTTCCAGGCTACGAGGAACAGAATCCTCTATTTAAGAGCTTCTGTAAGAATTAACTAGTGTCTTCATCTCCAGCCCTTGTGAGGTCAGGCATCACATGTGCACACACCCTCACATAGGTACCCACACGCCCGCATGCATAGACCCACCTGTGCTTTGGCATTCCAGATCGACACCAGCATTTACAGTACTTTATTGTCATCATTCCGACTGTCTATGTATTATGTTGCGCAACCACGTTATTTTGTCTTCTGTCCTATTTGTGTCACTGTCCATCACACTGTAAGGTTACCGACTCAAGACTCTGCCTGGGCTAAAATCCAGCCGTGCCCTGCCCTGCCCTGCCCACCAGGGGGAGCCAGAGGCGGGGTTTGGGGTTCATATTCTGGACCTTGTGATCACAGGCTTCAGTCTGTTTTAGGACTTGAGTGTGTTGTAGCTACAGAGTCAGACTGTCTCTTTGCCGTGTTTTTCTGCAAAGCCCAGCCCCTTCACAGCGGAGTACTTGCTTACGTGGCAGATGTGGGTTTGACAATCCCTACATCTCACGAGCAAACCTCACGGCAGCAGCGATACTCCTCGGAGACACCGCAGGTCACCTTGTGATGTCATCATTGTTCTGCCTGCTGTACTCGAACCCCTGCGCAGAGGTTAGAAGCCTCACCTCTTTCCATCCGGATGGAACGCCACGCAGTTGATGGGGCCGAAGTGTCCCTTCACTCTGCCGAACTCCTCTTCAAAAGCCGCGTGGAAAAACCTGGGAGAGGGACACAGGGAGAGAAATCTCACAGGATCTGGCAGAGTTTGTCCATCAGCGTTGGAACATGACAATCACTGGCCTGTCCAACCTCCAGAAAACACATGAACAGCACGAACCGAAACCTTGGCTTCTCAGGTCGAATTTCAAAATCGTTCTTGTTCCAATACTAAAACTTGCTTTAATGGCATCTAGTTTTGGCTGAAAAAAGGTATTAAAGCATGCTGGCTATAGTAGCTTTAAAGAGGTCAGAGACATCCATGTTTTGACACTCTGCAAGGTTCATTCTGCCCATCCGGAAAAGCAGCGTGGCTGTCTTACTGGAGCCAGGCTGGTCACTGTGGCTCCAGAATCAGCCTATCCGATTAATGTCTACTCAAGTCCCAAGGTGCTCGGTCCGCTGCATGCTGCTGCGAGACATTCTGGTCATCATTACTGACCAGCATGACCCAAACACATCACTGACTATCGATTAGTGGCCCGCAGACACACCACTTGAGCCAAGACTCAAGGCACACAGAGCAAGATGAAAACAGCATGGCCAACCCAGCATTCCAACCCTATCCGCCGACATTCACTTTGAAAGGCAGAATGGAACTCGGTTAGACGTTCTTAAAGGC